TGTACATGTTCAGTAAGGATGAAATTTTTCCCTAATATTTGTGATCCATAGTTTGTTTAATTGACAGGTGTGGAACCCACAAATACGGAGCACCAACTATAAGTACTCAAGACCATTTCTTTGGTCATCTTCTATTCAAAAATTTTACAACCCTTGAGGTAGAGTACTTTGAATACTTGACAAATTATTCTTTAAAAAAATAGGCTAATTTCAAAAGATGAGAAGTAGAAATGCTACTGTAAAGGGTTGGGTAGGAAAGAAGAAAAAACAACCTTGGCCTATATTAAAGTCTTTATTAAAATGCTACCAGATTCATTCCTTTGTTTCATAAACTGCGCATAATTATAGTATGCAAAACCTCCAGATCTTCCTGCTATTAAGAATTTAAAAATATCTGTTCCAGATTTTCAAAATAAGTTTCTCGTGTACAGTAATTATATCACATAAAATGTGCTATACTTAAAATTATGTTTATTATAGCAACTTAAATTTAGACTGCCTCTCTTAGGGTTGATTTAATCATCTCTATAATGTCGACTTTTTCATTTCCTATCAAGAGAGATAGTAATTCTATTTGAGGGAAGTTCATGCTAGAAAGATACCTGACTTTCCAAAAGCATTTTGGAAGAGAAATAAGAAAAATGGTTTCAGAATGGTGGGACACCATTCCCCCAATTGTCCAACCTTTGCTGTTGAAATAAATCTCTAGGCTCTGCAGAAAGTAGCAGGATGCTGCTAGAGATGGCCAGTTATGCAGTCTGATGACATGATGGGATGAAACATAGATAGAGATTCAGAAGATCCCTATTGTCCTTTTTATTTTGAGACAGAGTCTTGCTAAGCTATTAAATTGCCCAGTCTGGGCTTGAACTTTTATCTTCCTACCTTAGCCTCCCAGAATTCTGGAATTACATGTGTGTGCAACACCACACCTGGACGTTTTTCATTAATGTTCTTGCTTGTGTGTATGTATGTGGCTAGCTGTACTCATTTTTAGACATTGTTATTGACTAGAAATGTTTGCAATTTTAAATAATTTGTTTTTGAGAAATAGACTATATTTCAACATAACAGCTCATTTTGAAATCTGGATACTTGCCTAATTAATGCTAAGGCTCCTTTCAGAACTAAGATTCTACAGTTAGGAAATAATAAATCAGTGAGCTTGTCATGTGAGGAGAACCACTGACCAAATGACTCACGGTCATTCTTGAAACTCGAGCCTTTCCTGGCATATATTGGGCAAATTTCCCTTTGTGTGTGTGTGTGTGTGTGTGTGTGTGTGTGTGTGTGTGTGTTGTGTGTGCGCGAGATCTGTCTCCCAATCTTAGAGTATGGAAACTCTAAGTTAAACCTGGATAGTGGCCTCTGCTATCATCATGGTCAGATTTTCTAAACTCAATTAATTCTGAGCAAAACAGTTCCTTAAAGTCTACTGCTAGCATTTACTTTGAATCATGACTCCTCTGTTTGTTGGACTTTTACCCAAGAAAGTCACTGCACTGAGTTTAGCTTCCTTGTCTTTGGAATGTGATAATAACAATTGCATGAGACTTACCAAGACCACCCCCCCCCGCCAGGAAGACTTGAGAAGGGTTAAATGGTGCAATGTCTGTAAAGCACTTAGCAGAGCCCCTGGCATATAGTAAATATGCTAAAATGTTGTCTAGCATTTTGATTATCACTTGTACTACCACACAATTAGGACACTTCATGGCTACTCTGATGTGGTAAACTCCACTTTCCTCATCTAGCATTGAAGACTTTCCATCCGTGGTTGCCTATAAATAAAACGGAGAGAATAACCCTATTCCTAGTACTGACAGGAGTGCTGATCATTGGAAACAGGGACCATGGGCACTACCCATGATTCTCAGGTGCATCCATCACTCCCTCTTTGAACTATGGCCATTTCTTTGATTTGTTCATTCACAGGAATGGTGTAGGAGTTCTGGAGAGCTATTGAGAAAAAATAATTTGACTCATTTTTTACACCAAAATAAATTCTAAGATAGACCAAAGTTTTAAATGTAAAAAATGAAATGACATCAAGAATAACAAATGGATGGGAGAAAAGATAAGTGGATTTATTTATGAATTTGAAATAGAGGGGGACTTTTCTAAGTTGGGAATTATAAATAACAGAAGCTAATGGTGAGAACTCTGATAATTATGCCTAACTAAAAATGTTTATTGGGGCTGGAATTGTGGTTCCATGGTAGAGAGCTTATCCAGCATGCTTGAAGACCTGGGTTCGATCCCCAGCCAATACTTTAATATTTCCACAGCAAAGTAATACTAAAATAATAAATGCTATAAAATTAAATTATATCAAACCAATAAAATAATTTTTATAATATATTATGTTCTATTATAATTTATTCTGTTATTATTTAATCATTATAATACATTATTATTATTTGCAGTACTGGGGATTAAGCCTAGAGCCTTCATACTGAGGTATATCCCCACCCTCTTTCATTTATTTATTTATGTTTTATTTTGAGATACAGTCTTGCTCGGTTGCCCAGGCTGGTTCTGAATTTGTGATTCTCCTGCCTCAGTCTCACAGAGTGCTGAGGTTTCAGGTGTGCTCCACCACACCCAGATAGGGCTAACTTTCTTAAGTTTTAAAGTATTACATATCAATTAAAAGAGCTGAAATTTTCAAGTGAAAAATAGGTGAAGCCTGGGCGTGGTGGTGCATGCTTATAATCCCAGCACTTGGGAGGCTGAGTCAGGAGAATCACCTAGAGTTTGAGGCCAGCCTGAGCTACATAGTGAGTTCAAGGCTGGTCTCAACTGCATGGCGAGACCTTGTCTCAAAAACAGGTGGGGGGTGAAGTATTTGGTTACACAGAAAATATACATAAATAATAAATATGAAATAATCAATTTTACTAACTCAAAAGGTATAAATTGGAGCCAAAGATACCATTTTTAACCTACTGAGGAAAAGTGAATATCCAGTGTTGGTAATGATACAAAGATGTAAGCCTTCTGATGTACTGTGATGGTGGTGCAAATTGGTGCTATTTTTGTTGAGAATAACAGCATTGTTTACCAAAATAAAATATACATAGTCTTTTGATTTACCACTTCGAGTGATATAAATTAAGTTTAAAAATGCATTCAAGACCTGTGTACATGACTGGGTTTTAGCTCAGTGGCAGAGAGTATACTTAGTATATACTAAGGCCCTACGTGTTAAGAGAGGAAGAAAAGCACAGCAGGAAAATTATGTCTTTATGTGTACGTTTCAAATGTGGGCTGAGAGGGTAGAGTGTGTAGTAGCAGACACATATAAGCTAGTATGTTTTTAAAGAGAAGCATGTAAGAAACTGCAAAGTTGTTACTTCTGGGAGAAGAACAGGGTAGAGAAGAAGGGGACAGATGGAATGGAGTAATTTTATGCTCTCCTAAAATCCTGCGTAGTTATAACCATGTCCTTTGATATCTTTTCTTCTCTCTTTCCTGTTTTCTCTTCTCTCTTCTTTCCTCCCTCCCTTCCTCTCCTTTCCCCTCCTACTTTCTTTAGTGCTGGCTAGGCAAGTGCTCTGCTACTGAACCGCACTCCCAAATCCTCTTTGCTCTTAATTATTCATGAAGTAAAGTTGATCTTTGAAAACCATGATGTGATATGAAATTCCAAACAAAATAGCCTTCCTTTACTCTTTGTTTTGCTCAGTATGAATAACAAAAGGCTTACATTGATTTTCCTGTGTGTCAAAAACTTGGGAATGAAGTTCTGGTCCATGAAGTATTTTCTGGTTGTCTCATTTACATTCCAAGAAATGTCTGTCCCAGTGTGAGAACATCTGCTGACTGGCATATTATTTTCCTCTCAAACTACAGTAACGCACATCAGTTAGACCCCATGTAGCTCTGACATATGAATATTCTTAGTTCCATTCTCCTGCTCGTTGATTCAAAGGCATAACCAATGATACTTGTAGAAGGGAAGAATGGAGAATGGAGAAATGGGAGGATGGAAGAAGGGATAAGGAACAGGGGAAGGTGCTCCTGGTCGGATGAGCTGATTCTCCTCCTCCCTGGCCCTAGAGGCAGCACAGTTTGATGAATTAACAGTCAACTGGGTAGAGCTTGGAACTGCCTCTTGGAAGGCTCGTCTCTGCCACCTGCCATCCAGCCTTTCCTGTGCTCTCTTGGAACCTGCCTCTAAACATCTTCTCCTGTCTCTCAGAGCCTCCCTGCACACACTCCAAAACCAACTTTCTGTACTCATACACATTTTTCTAATTTTCTATTTCTAGTAATAAGCACAGGCTGTGTCCTGAATTGTTGTTCTTTTGTTCCCTTTTGACTGATTTTTGAACTTGCTTCACTGTTAACATCTTTACACAAATATATCAAGTGCCTGGGTACCAGGAACCAGTGTAGGATTTGGACCTAGTAGTCCTAACTTTGAACATTACATCTAAATTTTACACATAATACACAACTTCTGCATAGGTGGCCTTCATTCCCAGCTTGTCAGCTAAGACAAATATAGAGGCATAAAGTTATTTCAAATGGCTCGTTTGAGCATTGGATATAGCTATTAACTGGATTGATTAATAAAGGCACATCTTGCTATTATCCTGAAATTCAAATATGGAGAAATCAAGAGAGGCAGAACAATTTGTGATATCTTAACTCCACCCTACAAATGATATAAAAGTCTCACAAAATATTTATCTTGGTACAGATACTTTAAGCAGCAGCACTACTTATTTTTTACAGGAAAAATGAAAAGACACTGCTTTACAGGGAGGCCACTGCCACTTAACATAATCATCTTTGTAAGTATATGAAATGTTTTTTTCTAATGTGAAAATGTGGATGTGAGCTTTTTAGTTGCTAAAATTTGAAAGTATTCAAACTTATAAACAGTGGAAAAGGTCTAAAGTCTTACTCTGGCTAAATATACCACCTGTAATTGTTAGAAGTGTTTTGTACAATCACACTGGGGCTTAATAGAGCTTCCTGCCATCACTTACGTCATGTAGGTAAGGAAGGTGCTGAGGGGCTCCAGGGAATGATTCCGGAAATAGTCAAATTCTTTGCACAGCTTTTTCCTCATCTCTGTGTCAATTTTGGAAACAGTAAGAGGATTTGTCTCATTAGCCAAGAAGTTGCCATAATCAGTGGTCTGGAGATGAATTTTCAGATCTGAAATTAAGTGAAACACCAAGTTAAATTTTGAGCATGCATAAATAGCTTTTTCAACATTAATTGAATTTATGATAACTTTAAGGTAAATATATACTTATTATCTTACCAGACTTCGACATACATTTTGTATATTACTTAGACTTGAGGGTTTATCCTAAAGCAATGAAAAAATTAATGTAAATATTATTCCAGCACAGCATAAAAATTTCCAGTATCTAAGAAACCTGGCATTTTTTTTCACAGAGCTAAAAAACAATAAACACCTAGTTCAGAGATAGTGTTAGCTGAACCAGTTTTAGTCATTTGGACACAGATGCTTGGGAAACAGTTAAGAAAGATACTAAGGCTCCATCTCAACTTGATAGAAAAGAAAAACTTATAATTAATAGCTTTCGTGGATGTAGGGGCTAGGATAGGCGGTCATTACTGCCAAATTTTCATTACAGATGAAGAAATTGTGGCTAAATAGTGGAGTAATAGAATAGTTGGAGTTGGACCAGAAGGTAAGATTCTTTACTTTTAAAATCCAATATTATTTCCACCAGACTAAGAGTCCTTTAAATATGGTCAATGATTTGGTTGACAGATAGTTTAAATGAATTCCAGCTTTCTCTTCAACAAACAGTGTGTCTTCTAACATCTTTAATGTTGACTACATCCTACTCTCTTGAATTTCTCTCTCCATTCCTTTTCAAACTTCTTGATTTGTATCCTTCAAGGTCTGATTATAGCACTGAAATAATTGCTACCAATGACTGAGTGCTTATTAGGTATCAAGTTTTATACTAAGCTTACACTGTCTCCTTTTCTCATTTAATACTCATGGCAACCCTATGAAATAGGAATGATTTTTATCTCCCTTTTCAAATAAGAACACTGAAGCCCCAAGAGATGAGAAACTTTCTCAAGATCACATGGATAAACCTGAGATCAAAAGCCAGTTTGATCTGATTTCAAAGTCACTTAAAACCTATACTTTATTGTCAACCATTACAATCAGAATATCACTTGCTCTGTAAAGCCTTAATTCTCTTGGGCAGAGTTATTCAAGCTCACTCATCTGAGTTTCAAATTACTTGGATAATAGCTTTAGCATAACACATGTTATAAGATATATAGTTTTAAATATGTTAACCCAAAAAGGGAGTTACACTGCCATAGTTATACCTTCTATCTGTGACTTCTTGCAAAGACCCTAACATATAGGTTTTATATGAATATCTACAGTGATCTGTGAATACCTAAAATGTCTTTGGCTCCATCTAGTACATAAATTGGGGCCAATATAGCAACCTGGGTCTTACTGGCTCTTACATTCAAACATCTACTGAGCAATTATTGTGTGCTGTCAACTGCCGGCAAACTAATGGTGAACTAGCCATATATTCCTAGCCTTGAAGGAAACATGCAATCTGGCAGGAGAGAAGGATAGCACAAACATGTCATTCAAGAAATGTACTAAATTCACTTGAATATGGTGGTGCATATCTGTAACACCAGCACTGGGAGGCTGGGATAGGAGGATAACAAGTTTGAGCCCAGCCTGGGCAGCTTACTGACTTAGTGAGATCCTGCTCCCCCCTCAAAAAAAAGAGCAAAATTAAAAGGGGCTGAGAATGTAGCTTAGTGCAGAGGCCCTGAGTTCAATCCTCAATACCACACACACACACACACACACACACACACACACACACACCATACAAAGCAACAAGCAATATGCTAAATTCAGCCATAAGAGCCTTGATTTACAGTAACAGAGAAAATAAGACCCGGATCCACGGGATGGGAGCAAAAGGCCCAGGAAAGTTTCCTGAAGAAGGCCAGGCTGTAGATGGGTTTTCAAGTGCTATGTAAAAGTGAGAGGAAGATGTTTCATGAGCTAGGACAGGAACTGTGTGTTCGAGGAACTCCAAACAGGTCAGTGATGGATATTACATGGTAGATACGGAAATTAAAAATGGAACTGCCATATGATCCAGCAACTCCATAACTGAGTATTTATCCACAGGAAATGAAGGCAGCATGTTCAGGAGGTACCTTTAGTCTCATGTGCAGTGCAACACCATTCACAACAGTAGGGATATGGAAGCAAACTCAGTGTCCGCCAGTGGATGAATGGATAAAGAAATGTGGAATACATTCATAATAGAATACTATTCAGCCTTGAAAGGAAGGAAAGTCTGTCATTTGTGACAATAGAGATAAATCTAGAGGATATAATGAGAAGTGAAATAGCACAGGTACTGAAAGCGAGTTCCACATGATCTCACTGAGATGAGAAATCTAAGAAACTTTGAGCTTATGGAAGTAGAGAGTAGAATGGTAGTTACCAGAGGCTGGGAAGGATTTGGATGGGGAGATGGTGGTCAAAGAATACAAAATTTCAGGTAGGTAAAAAGAATAACTTCAAGAGATCTCTTGTATAACAAGGTGATTATAGTAAATAACAATATATTTTGAAAATTACTGAGAGAATAGATTTTAATTTTCCTCACGGCAAAAAATAAGTATGTGAAGTAATATATATGTTAATTTGCTCAATTTAGTTATTCTACTATCTATTGATATCTTTCAAGACATGTTGGTTGGATGTGTTGATACATAGGATGACAAGTTCAAGGCCAGTTGGGGAAACTTAGAAAGACCTTGTCTGAACATAAATGAAAAGGACTGGAGATGAAATTCAGTGGTAAAGCACCCCTGGGTTCAATCCACAATATGCCAAAAGAAAAAAAGAGGAGTTAGGGAGAGGGAAAGAAAAGGAAAGAGCTAGGATGTAGCTCAGTAGTAGAGCACTTGCCTAGAATACACAAGGCTCTGAGTTCAACCCCCAGCACTGCAAACAAAACAAAACTAAAAAAAACATCAGGTTGAAGTTCTAGTTAGAAGAAGTTTTAGTATGCTGTTGCATAGTAGAATGACTATACACAACAATATTGCTCCTACATTTAAAAGCTAGAAGAAAGGATTTTGAAAGTTTTCATTATAAAGAAATTATATTTGAGGAGACAGATATGTTTAACTTGCTTTAAACTTTACATGATGTATACTTGCATTGAAATACCATGCGGTACCCCATTAATACGTACAATTTTTTTTCATGTTTCAATTAAAGATGAACAAAAAAATTTAAAAATCATGTTTTACATGATAAATATATACAAAGTTTTAAAAAGATAATAGAAAAGGAGAAGTAAGAATTGAGCCAAAAATAAAAAAGCAGGTGTTCTTCCCAGGAAGGTCTGGGGTCTTTGACCAGAGAAAACAAGGAGCTGCAGTAGGCTATGAATTGATTGCTCTGGTAGCTGGGAAGGGTGGATCTGCAGTTAGGTACGATGTGGTCAGGGAGTGGCTGGTACTGGCTCCAGGCATTCTTCCTCAGTATTTGGAGTAGATTTTGGATGCAAAATGGACTTTGACTGCAGAATTCATTTGCTCAATTACCTATTTAATTAACTCAATTTAAAAAAATTTTTTTTTTTTTTTTTTTTTGCCGTGGCTTGTTTGGCTTTTATTTTGGCAGTGCAGATTTTTATGTAATTTGACAGTTTGCATTCTCAGCACCAAGGAATATTTGCCAACACAACTGACACAAATGGTATTTCTTTCAAAACCACGATATTTTGCTCTGTGACATATGTTTCTTTTAAGCTAAATAACTTTCAAACCTTTCAGCTGCCAGTTAGATCCTGAAATTAAATGTCTCAAATTTGTCAGACCCTGTAGAAATCTTGGAATACAATGCTGGAGTCAGTGGAGAGCAAATGGAAGAGAAGGCACCTCTCTTCTGCAGTAGCAAAATGATCCAAGGGACGCTCTTATGCAGATTTTAAGAAAATCTCAGACCCTGAAATGTTTTCTCTGAGATGATGACAGATTGCCAACAACAGTGTTCACAGTTTTATGGGTTATAAAATGAACTGACTTAATTTTTTCCTCCTGCACTTCTCTAAATGCTCATCTAAGTAGGTGCATCAGTAATAGGACTCTGTGGTCAAATAAGTTTGGAATAAACAGGTTTCTTTATGGTAGGAATTGAAAACATTCCATACATCAGTTTCAGTGTTTTCTTTGAAAAGAGTATGGTACAGAACCTTTCAAGCCACTAAAGAACAACAGGCCCACTCACAGAGCACAATCAGGAAAATGACACTATGCTTTTACCCAGAGAAATAGTGTGGCAAATGGTGTTACAAGTGTTGTTATTGTTTCTTTAGTTTTAATAAGGAAATAGAACATTTTCCAAACTGTGGAATCCCTACCAAGTAAATCAGTTTAATAGGTCCTAAACAGAAATAGAATAAAAGGAATCCATTAGGCTGTTTTAACAAATATCAAAGTGTATCACCAGAGCAGTATAACTAAATGTGTGTCCATGTTCGTACATGATCAGAATATTAAAAAAGTATCTTCTCAGGGTGGCAGCCACTGAAATAAGGGAATTATCTGAGATCACTGGGCTAGCGAATGAGTCAGGACAGGGAACAGAGACTTTGTGGTTGTCTTATAATAATGTTCTTGCCAAAATTAATATGTTGGCAAATCATTTTTAGAAAATCACTAGTTTTTCTATGCAGCTCCCTATTTGGATCTCTTTCTACAAGTGAATGTCTGACCTTTCACCCTCTGGTACTTAAGCCAAAGAAGCACCTTTAGATGTAACTGTCCAGGGTCTGACCCCAAAGGAAGGGGGAGTGCTTTTCCTCCCCTCCGCTGGTGCTGAACAGTTTCCTTATCCACAAACTGGACATAGAGGACTGCAGGTATAGCATTAGCCCATTATTCTTAAGGCTCTGGGCTTGATCCCCAGCAGCCTTCCTTGCCCCCAAAAGGGTATAGAGTCTATGCTTTCAGGTTAGAGCAGGGGTGGAATAACGTGACAGTCCTGCTGACAATGCACCTGAGTAAATAAACAGATATGGAAACTACTACAAAATGTCAATTTTATCTTCCCACAGGTACTAATCCAATTCCAAAATAATTTGATTCAGTTGGTT